TGTCAGCTTCTTGGCCTGTTGATTCAGCAGGACAATAGTTTACAGGATTTGCCTTGAGGAAAAGAAATCATGATGACTGTGGCCTGCCTTGTGATGGAAAAGAAACTGTGTGTGTGTGTGTGTGTTTGTTTGTTTGTTTGTTTTCAGGGGGAGATTTTGTTCCCTGAGACCTAGAGCACCTTTCTACCTCATCTTTGTGAAGCTATTTCAAAGTGGCTTTATGACCTGAGAACAAAGCTCAAATGAACAAGATAAGCTGATTCTAGTCATTTAGGAAGCCCTGTGCCATCTCATTGAAATAACTGAGTTTCTATCGATGAGAGTTTTTGATACTTTTTTCAATATCTGTGATAGCAACTAGCATTTTAAATAGTCAAATGATATTTCTTATAATAAAGAACATTAATAATTTCATGAGCTGGCTGTGGTAGCAGGCAGATCTGTGAGTTACAGACCAATCTGGTCTACAACATGAGTTCCAGGACAGCTAGGGCTATTACATAGACAAAACTTGTCTTGAAGAAAAAAAAAGTTTTACCATGAGATCAAACCACTTAAAAGCAGTGTTTCAAACAGGAAGTCACAGGGAAAATTACAGAACATTTTTAGGAGAATGAAAGTGAAGGTACAACAAACCAGAATTTATGGGAAAAGCTAAAGTAGTGCATGGTGGTAATCTTACAAAAAGGGACTTCAAACAAGGAAACCTTCAACATTAATACCCTAGGAAAAGAAGAAAAATAAAGTGATCAAAATGAAGGGTAGTACAGAAATCAGTGAAATAGATAATAGAAGAGGAAAAAAAAATCAGTAACGCCAGAAATTGGTTCTTTGAAAAAATAATCTTGAGAAACCTTTAGCTAGATTGAGAGAGAGAGGGAGAGAGAGCTGTAAATAGCTAAAATCAGAAATGAAGGTGAGAAAATGACTGCTAACTTTTCAGAAGTTTTTTTGTTTTTGTTTTTTTAAAGCAAGGGGAGCTCATGAAGGAACACCATGAACAGATACATGCCTAAAATAGACAACAGGGAGAGGGAAAAACGGACAGCTTCCTGGAGCCATACAGGTTCCGTCATTGACTGGTGAGAGACACACACACTGAGCAGACCTGTGGCCAGCAAGGAGATGAATTGGTAATTTAAAATTTACAAAGAAAGGGAAAGTTCCAGGTAGCCTCACGGGAAAGTGTTACCAAACCTCTGGAGACAATCAAACAATTTTTCTTCACAAACTCTTACACAAAGTAAACATGGAGGGAATATCTTCCACTCAGAAAACTTTTATAATTTTTAACCTGATAATGATACTGGACAGAATTTCACAGGTAATGTCTCTCGTGATTGCAGGTATAGAATCCTTAACAAAATGTTAACAAACCAAATCTAGCAGCATATAAATTATCTGTACATCATAAACAAATGAGATTTTATCCTGAAAATAAATGAGTTTAACATCTAAGAATCAACTAATGGAATATGCTATATTAATAGAATAAAAGACAGAAATCATACAGTCATCTCAGTAGATACAGAAAAAGCATTTGAAAAGTTCCAACATTCCTCATGCTAAAAATATTCAAACCAACTCAAAATAGAAAATCATCCTTTAAAAACCCATGTGGGACTGGGAAGATAGCTCAGTCAATGAAGTGTGTGCCTTGCTAGTGTGAGGAGACCTGAGCCTGATGCTCAGAATCCATGTGAAAAATAGGCATGGGGATGAAGTGATGTCTCACTGCTCTTCAAGAGGACCTAGGTTCAGGTCCCAGGCAACTCACAACTGCTTGTAACTTCAGCTGGTCTCTATGGCACCATCATGCAAGTGGTATACACAAACTCATTCACACATAAATGAGCCAATAAATAAATCTTAAAAAAAAAAAAAAATAGCAGGCATGGTAGTATGAGCCTGTAAAGTCAGCACTAGGGAGGCAGAGACAGAAGAATTTCTAGGGCTTGCTGGCGAGCTAGCCCCACTTGCTTGCCGAACTCTAGGTGATTGAGAAACTTGTCTCAAAAAAAAAAAAAAAAAAAAAAAAAATAGCTGGCCCCGAGGAGCATGACTAAATTTTCTTCTGACCTCCATATGCACCTACACACACACACACACACACACACACACACACACACACACACACACACACACACACACACGAAGTCCATATTTTATTTCAGGAAAAAAACTAAACACTTTTCTTCTAAGGCCAGGCCAGAATCAAGAATGTCTAGTATCTCCACTTCTAGACAGTATTGTACTAAGGTTCTAGTCAAGGTAGTTAAGGCAGAAATAAAATATCCATGTTAGATAGGGAGAAGTAAAACTTAATCTGTTTTCAGATGACACAATCCTTTGGCTATTTGTTTGTTTGTTTTTGTTTCTGAAGACAAGATTTCTTTGTATAGTCCTGTCGTGGAACTCAATCTGTAAACCAGTCTGGCCTCAAACTCAGAGATCCACCAGCCTCTGTCTCTCAAGTGTTGGGGTTAAAGGTGGGTATCACCATGCCATGTATGTATGTATGTACATATGTATGTATGTATTTTGAGATAGGGTCTCATTATGTAACACAGGCTGCCCTAGAACGCATCTTGTAGCCCAAATTGGTTTCTAGCCCTTGATGATTCTCTGCCTCCGCCTCCCTAGAGCTGAGTTGTGAGCCACCATACCCAGCCATGATAATTTATATACAGAAATTCCTGATAAATTTACAACAAATAACTCCTCTACACACACCACAAAACAAAGTTATCAGAAATAATAAACAAGACCAGTGATGATGCAGGATATGAGAAGTATACCAAAATTTAACACTATAGTATTAGAGTAATGAATAACCCCAAAATGAAGATAAATAACTCCATTTATCACAGTATCAAAAAAGAGAAAGGCACCTTGAAATGTGCAATTTTTTCTTTCTGAGACAGAATTTCACTGATTGTTCAGGGTGACCTCAGATTTATTCCATAGCTTAAGCAGACACTGAACTTAGGATTCTCTTATCACAAATTCACAAGTAGCTAAGGTTACAGCTCTACATAAGCTGTGTATAAGCCCAGTTTTCTTCATGTCTGTTAAGATGATTCTTGAAAATTTTTTTGTTATGATTTGATTCTTTTGTTGTTATTATTATTGATGTTATTTTGCAGTGTTAGGGATTGAGCCCTGGGTCTTACACATGCTAGGCAAGTCTCTACCTTTAAGCTATATCCCTAGCCTCCAGCATATATTTTAATTTGTAAATCTTGATATGTGAGGAAGCTGTTGGAATTTATTGGACAACAAATTACTTTCTCATTGACTTTTTAAAATTTTTTCAGTTGATTTATTTTTGGTGGTACTAGGGATTAAACTCAGAGCCTCAAATACTCTACTATTGATCTATATCTATAGCTTGAATATTTTGTTTAGGAACTATCAACCACTTTTATTTGTTTAGATTCAAGGGTTATACTTTGTGTTTCCCCTTAGCTGTTTTAACATACATGTGCATGATAGTGTTAAGTTATGATGATGGCAATGAATATCCTCCTATAACTGGTGTTTTACTCTGAAATTCTGCTTTGTTTGGATTAACAATTTGAGGTGGATATGAACTTCCCTTATGTCAAGGGGGAGTGCCTTCTTCCTATATTCCTTTCTCACTAGGTGTTTTATTGCAACTGCATGTTGAGTCTTGCCTGATACACTAAGTAACTTTTAATGAAAACACATTGAATGATAATATAGTTTATGGGGGAAAACTGTGACCATGGACTTGGGTGTATGAAGTTTGGAGAAATATAAGCCTCTAAGAGGACACCAGGTCCCATTCAGGGTCTTAAAGGAAGAGATGTGTTTCTTTAATGCTGTCCCAAGCCCAGTTCCTTTTCCTCCCTCCCTTCTTCCCATGTCCCCCCCCCACCCCCCAGTCATACTGCTCAGAAGCCAGGTAGCTCCTCCTATCTGCTGCTTTCAAGGTTACCAATACCACATGAGATGCAACATCTAGAAACTTCCATTATACTGACTTAGATGAGAAAGAAAGAGGCAAATGTCAGGTCAGTGTTCTGAAAATCAGTGATCTCACTGGCCCTGTCCATGATCTTGGGGGCACAATGAGCCTGTGGTTCCCCCTGAGGAATTCTGTGTAACTTGGTATCTCATTCAGCATTTCTCACTCAGTGTGTCGGTCTAAGCCATGCTGGAGCCGATTGCTTATTTCTGGGCTATTTTCTAAATAACTCCTAGGATGATTTTTTAAAAAATCATTGGACTGCTAACATAAGTAACAGCAGAGATGAACCTCAAAACACTGTGCCAAGTTAGTGAGATGGCTGTAAGATAAACTGTGTGACTCTATCTGAAAGTCTAGAAAAGGCAAAACTGTAGGTCAGAAAAGCAGAATTGTGGTGCTGGGGGCTTAGGTCAGAGGAGACTGCCTGAGAGGTATGAGGGAATTTTGGACCCTGCCTGAAAGGGAGTCCATGGGATGAATCCAAGGGCTGGTCTCATTTTCAGCCTCTGCAGTCTCCTGGACCTGGTTGGGCAGGTTCTGCTGATGTCCTGGGTGTAGATACTTCTGGCTTCCCACGAGCAGCTAATGAGTAACTCAGCACTGAGCTGGATCAAAGAAGCTTGGCAGCAGTGAGGTTTCAAGGCCAGAGAAGCCAGCCACTCTGCCGGGATGAGGTGGAAGCGGGGGTCTGATATCAGGTGGGATGCTTTTTGAGGACCTGTTGTCTTTGCTGGATTCTTGCCCAAAGGCCAAAACAACAGATGAACAGGACTGTATCTTTGACTTTTAAGAAATAAACACAAAATGTTCCCTCTAGTACAGTTGAAAACTCAAAAGACTATCTCAGTTAATTAGCAAAAGCAGATGGGAGGCCACTTTTATCAGTGGCAGTGTCCCCTGTGTGGAAAGATGCCTGTGGCACTTGTTTAGAAATTGAAGGTGCTAATAATAAGCTGGCAGAATTCATACATACTGCCTTTTGACTCATATTGCTTCTGTCTTGTAGACGAAAGAGCCTGTGGTTCCGACTGAGGAAGATAATTCTCTGTGTTCTGGGGTTCTACATTGCCATTCCGTTTCTTGTCAAACTGTGTCCTGGGATACAGGCCAAACTGATTTTCTTGAATTTCGGTAAGTCCCTTGTATAGATTTTTCTTTAATTTTACTTAGTATATTTTCACAATGGTGGCTGACTTTAAAAGATGTCTTTTTATTTTAATTGAGATTGAACTTCCATGTAGTAAAATGTATAGATTTTAAGTGTATAGTGTGTAGGGAAGTAGAGCCACCTCCCGGATTCAGGAATAGTATGGTCTGTGACCTGGGAAGTTCCCTGTACCTTTTGTCAATTGAGGGTCATGGTGACAATGGCGTTACTATCCAGTACTGCATTCGGGTCTCTAGGTGACTATTGCGCTGGAGGTGATTATCTCTTGACCCAGAGTAGATAAAAATATTGATGGCATGAACAATTGTCTGAAGCAGTCCTGTTAGAGACATGTTGTCATTGTATAGTCTAAGTTAATTGGAACCATAAAAAGAATAGTGTCAGCCAGATGATAGTGGCTCACATCTTTAATCCCAGCACTTGGGAGGCAGAGGCAGGTGAATCTTGGTGAGTTGGAGGCCAGCCTGGTCTGCAAAGCAAGTTCCAGGTCAGCCAGAACTGTTACACAAAGAAACCCTGTCTGGGGGGGGGGGGGGGTAAAAAAAAAAAAAAAAGAACAGTGTCTTTAAAAATAACAACAATGAGCCTCATGTTTTTCTTAATTGTTGTTATTATTGGTCCTTTTTAAAAAAACAAAAACCTAACACATTTTGATTTTTGTGGGATTTTATGCTGTTTATAAAACATGGACCCTGTTTTATTCCAAAGCTGTTTGGGGTATAAGAAGGGGGAAAGGTGAGGAGGTGTGGTGCTTAAGACAGGAGGCAGAGGGTCCTAGGTGTGTTTGCTAGAAACAGTCTTTTCAAAAATACCATTTTATAAACAAGACGAGGCAAAGGAGGGTGGAGGCATTAACGATGGCCATGAAAATGGCTATGGTCAGTGTTAAGATGGGATGAGGTGGCCTCCTCACCAGATCTTTGGCAAGGTTGGCTTACGTGTGTTTGGGAGCTTTAAACTCAGAAGCTGGCTTGATGCTGTGAGACAGCGGGCAAGCTTTGGGCAGCTGGGGGGACTGGAAGGGTCCAGTCCGTGTGTGAGTGTAGCTCAGGACATGGTAGAGCCAAGGATGCAGGGCAGGTAGGAGGCATGTCTCAGGTTTCAAACTCCCACTAGTAACAATTCCATGCTCCATTGGGTCTGGTGTTTTTCTGAGTTATTGTCCTTTAAAGAAGGCACAGAAAAGATGCTGGGGTTTCAAACACAAAGACACGGAGCTGTAAATTTATTGGTGTGGCCTTAGAACTGACCCATGTAGCCTGGGGCTGTGTGTTCTCTGTTAGGTGCCAGCAAAGATCTGGATTGGATTTTTTTTTTTTCCCCCACTAGATTCTGTGGGCTGCTGTAGACACAGCCCACAGTTTTGCAGTGCTGTTTTTTCTGAAGAGTTAGTGACTATGCCACAGGCACAGAACTTTGGGTTCTCTAGTCTAGCATGTGTCACAGAAAGGAGGTTGTGACATGGCTGCCCCCCCCCCAGGTTGATGCTGCCCTCTAATATTTTTCCTTCCACTGCCTACTGCTTGGGGAGCAGAGGGTCTGGGTCAGGTTTGGGTTGGGACTGCGCTGATTTTGGAATAGTGAGACTTAAACCCAGGGCCTCACATGCTTGTACCAGAAAGTCCTTTCCTGGGCAGTGTTTCTGAAGGAATAATAGGATGAAAATCTGTCTCTGGGGTGCTGCTTTGTTTGTTTCCTTTTGTTTGGGCTGGGGAGGTGGCTCAATGGGTAAAGTGCTCAGTGCTCAAGAATAAGGATCTGAGTTTGGATCCCCAGCACCCACATAAAAATCTGAGTGTGGTGGTACATGCCTGTAACCCTGGTACTGGGTTGGTGGAGACAGGCTGATGATCCTGGAGCTAACCAACTAACCAGCCTAGCTGAAATGGGTGAGCTTCAGGTTAGTGAGAGATTCTTTCAAAAACTAAGATGAGACTGGGCATGGTGGTGCATGCCTTTTGCCCCAGTGTAGAGAAGGCAGAGCCAGATGGATCTCTGTAATTGCAAAGCTAATTTGGTCTACATAATGAGTTCCAGGACAGAGATTGAGACTCTCTCTCAAAAAAAGTAGAAAAGTGATTAAGAAAGATATTCTGACATTAATCTCCAGTTTTGCTTGAGCAAGCATAGATAGCCACAGACACACACACACACACATACACACACACACACACACACACACACACACATACACACACACACACAGACAGACACACACACACACACTCCGACAAAATTTATAAAAGAATTTTTGGATTTCTCAAGGACTAGAGAAAGGCTCAGCAGGTAAACTTTGCTGTATGACAGTCTGGAACTCATGTAAAGGTGGAAAGAGAGGATCAACTCTACAGCGTTGTCCTCTGGCCTTCATTCCTGTGCCCTGGCACACACATGTACCACCCACTACAGGGAATAAATAATATTTTTTTAAGTTACTCAAGAGCTTGGCTCTGATGGACATCATTTTAGGGCAGTGGTTGGCCGTCACCACAGCCTTTCTCACAGCAGCATCGTGAGGCCTGCTCTCCTGGGGGGAAGGGGCAAAATGGCTCGGGGCTTGCTGGTTTTCAAGTTATAGTGTGGCCAGCTTTAACTGTTTGTGTCTGTCTCCCCTTTGAACTGGAAGCTGTAGAGGCTTTGGGGCAGGAGTTTTACCTGAGGCTGGGAGGGTCTCTCTGTATGTGGAAGTTGTCTCTTCCAGATGGGAGTCAGGACTTGTTGCTGTCCATCCAGACAATCTTTAGGACTCAGGGCATGGTTAACATAGTCATGAGTTTATAGCAAATTTATCTTAAAATAAATTTACAGTTAGATAAATAAGCTTTAGAAGAAGCACAGCACCTCTGATTTAAGGCAGTATTCTCCTTTAGATGCATTTTTTTTTTTTAGAAAGAAAAAAATAATTCTTCTAAAAAGAAAAAATGTTAGCTGAAAAACCCTGAATAGAATAAGTAATAAGTAACAGTGAACATCACTTTGAAAAAATTCTGTTAATACTGTAGTTCATTGCCTGGTAGTCTTGTTTTGTAAGTGTGAGTTCGTATGAGCATGCTTCTTGCTTCTTGGGTCCTGGTATTCCAAAGCCTGATTCCATTCCAGCGATACTTGGGTGATGCCTGACATCTAAGGTCTAAGAGGCTGGAGTATGCTCCCAGCTATCACTCTGCTATCATGTCTCAAGTGTTAGGAACACGTCTCCCAGAAAAGGGAACGTCTTGGTTTGGAGGCAAATGCAAGGGAGAAGTTCAAACCTTCTTGGGAAATGAGTTAGCTTTATTAAACACTAACCTCCTTCATCCTTCCCCTGAGCAGTCCCTGTTAAACTCATATAGCTTTCTTTCTCATATCCTTATCTCCCATAGATGTCCCTGGAATTGATAAAACCCAGATAACCTGCCAGGCCTTTTCTTTCTTGGCACCACACCTGGTACAAAGCTGTTTTGTTACTTACAAAGATGGAATGAGATGCAGCCTGATAGCAAAACAACCCAGGCAGTCACAAATGCTCATCTCAGTTTAGGAACTCTAGGCTTTTACCCTTTCAGGTTGCTTTCCTAGTCATTGACATATTTATTCACTTGTTCTTTACTGGGTGCCTGTATGTGGAGGATCTTTTCCTTGGTTTTATAATTGCTGATACATGGTGGCATGGCTGAAAAAAGGGGTTGATGAAACTCTGAAGACTCCAGAGACCTGCAGAGGTAGGGTTTCTGACCTGTATGTCCTAGCCCTGTTTAAGAGGAACCTGTGAGGGATGGTGGTGAGAGCAGGACTACATCTATAGAGCATGAAGTAATGAATGCTCTGTGGAGGGCCTGTTTCTTTTGTTACCCTTGAGCCACGTGTGCTGTTCCTGCTTTAGTTATTGCATGAATCTGTGCCTCAGCAGGGCAGGCTCCAGACAGCATCCCACAGTCATGAGGATCACCAAGGGTTGATGGCTAAGAAAGATATAATAACCACTTGTTAGGAGAAAGGGCCAGTATTGGGCAGAAAGAGTGAGCTACACATCTGGCCTAGGTGATCCCATGACTGCACTCAAGCTACCTCCACCTAATGCACCCTTTATCCCCATTTCCTGCTTTGTGGCATTTCTGATCTTTTGGACCCACACTGGCCAGGTGGTTTCTGTAGTTACAGTTCTGTGGGGGCTGTGTGATCCTGGGGACTGACCAGGCTCTATGTCAAGATCTGCATAGGCAAGGACATGAAAGGCAGCATCTGCTGACTGCAGGGTATTCCCTATGCTTCCCTTTCCACTGCTAAGTCAGTGAACTGGCAGACCAGCTTCCTGGGATGCTCTGTTTGTACAGAACAAAGCTTCCCAGATCCTAAATGCCTGTAAATTCTCATAAAACCACTTGACCAGAATTCCTCCAGGATCTCAGGGAGGTTCATGTTTCTATATTGGCTTTCTTTCTATACACAGTATGGAGTATGTTAGGATGCTGAACCAGGGAAACCAAGTGTTCCAAGCCTTTCTCCCCTTGGGAGGGTGGCTGTGGTTCCACCTTCAGAGGCAGGACTGACATATGAGTCTAAGGTTACCGGTAGGCATCTGATATGAATCTTTATAGTTTTACTGAGGGAGTCACCTTGTTAGCAGTGGCAGGCAATACAACCCAACACAGCCACCAGCACCCTGAGTACTCTTAACTCTTAAGGATCTCTATTCAAGTAAAGACATCTTGACTGCTACAGAAAAGAATTTCAGGATGGGCCAGAGTAAAGCAAAGCATGAGTTTATTCTAAGTGTTTGACAGAAAATCACTGTATTAGTTACCTTTCTGTTGCTATGATAAAACACTGTGACCAAAAAAACAACTTATGGAAGAGTTTACTTTAGCTTGTGGTTCCAGAGGGGTAAGAGTCCATCATAATGAGGATTTGTAGCAGCAGGCAGCACACATGGTGGCAGGAGCAGGGAGCTGAGAGAGCACATATCCTCCTCTAGGTAAGCACAAAGCAGAGAGAGGAAGTCTGCTGAGGCTAAGAACTCTCAAAGCCCACCTGCAGTGATCTAATTCCTCCTGCAAGGCTGCCAGGTTAGGGTTAGGGTTAGGGTTAGGACCCTCCCACCCAGCCCACCCCAACAGCACTGGGGATCAAGTCTTGGAATAGCTGAACCTACAGTAGACATTTCTCATTCAAGAAATCACCACAATCATACAGGAAAAAGGATGACACATACTCCCAAGACACGGACCTAGGTTTCTCAAGAGAGTCATGCTAAGGTCAGCCAGGTAACTCAGCAGGTAAGAGGGCACAAACCTGATGGCCCGAGTTTAATCCCCAGGACCCACAGTAGAAGAAAGAACTGACTCCCAAAAGTTGTCCTGACCTCCACATACATTCCATGGGACATACATGGATGCCTGAATTTACACACATAGCATACACATACAGTAATAAGAATTTTTAAAAGGAGGCATACTTAAGTGTCTTTACAATGGCTATATATAATCCTGTGGCTTTCTAGGTTCCATTCCTTAAAGGATGTAATTTAAAGCAAATTAAAGGCTAAGTAAAGCGCAAATGAAAAAAAGAAGAAGAAGAAGAAGGAAAAAAAAAAGCCTAAGTGAACTTTTAAAATTAAGTGAAAATATATGAGGGTGTTTACTTATTTTCAAAGAATTACTTTTGTGACTAAAATTGTAAGGTGTTGTAAGGTGGCTTTATGGTGTGTATTATTTAGGCTTAGGAGTGCTGATAGAATTACAAATATTCATGTCCTACATAAGCACAGTTCAACTGCTGTTTTTAACATCCTGTCTGAGATGGCATCTGGAGGTTCAGGAAGACACCTATCTCTGTGGGCAGTTTTGGCTTCATCGGTTATATTAAGTTTTGACAGTCCACCCCCCACCCCAGGCAGCAGTGAAGGCAATCTGGGTGCTAGTGAGTGAGATGCTTTTCTTCCTTCTCTGGCTTTCCTGAAACTCACTCTGTAGACCAGGCTGGCCTCAAACTCAAAGACCCACCTGCTTCTGCCTCCAGAGTGCTAGGACTAAAGGTGTGTGACACCACCGCCTGGCTAATTTTGGGGGGGGGCTTTTTATCCTACTTTAACTTCACCTGCAAATGAGGCTGCAGCTTTTAAATTCCAGTGTGTGGTAAGTTCATAGAGGGAAGCACGGGATTGGCTCGTACAGCACAGGAAGTAGACTTCTTTCTAGTCAGAGCCTTCATGGGTCCCACTGTTATCAATAGAAAACTTAAATAAGCTCTTAGCTCTCTGATGGGTGGCTGCAACAGGACAAAAAGCCTTGGTATTTCTATCTTCCTTTCTGTGCTGCCATCACCCTCAAGTCAGGTTCTATTCAGGTCTCACTCAGACCTGCTGATCCTCTGTGGAGCTGGTCTTCTGCCCTTGAATATCTTCCAGCCTCTACTCTACCTTCAAGCCAGCCAGTGAAGGCCTGCTTGCCCCTTTGTCCAGGGAGCAGTCAGTGCTGGCTCCTTCCTATTTGTAAGCTGGAGCCCCATTAAAGCTTTGCATGTATCCTTTGCTTGGTTTCATTCTATTGCTTCCATGCCAAAGGACTGCCAAGTCTCCAGTAACACTGTTGTCATGGTAACATCTGAATACTTTAGTATGATTTTCCTGACAGGTCTTCAGACTTGTTGGCTTAAAACAAAAATGCTATCTTGAAGTCCCAGTGGCCGAAAGTCTAAGATCAAAGTGTTGGCACCGTCTGAGACACCTGGATAGAATCCATCCTTTCTCCCTCATCTCCCTTTCCTCCCTCCCTCCCTTCTGTACTAGGGATGAAACTCTAAGGCCTTGTGCATAGCGGGCAAGCACTCCACCACCTCCTGCCTTTTTCATCAGCTGCCACTGGCCTGCAGTCTTTGATATGTCTTGGGTTGTAGAAACCTCAACTCACGATCTTCATGTGATCTCCCTTTTTAGAAGTATGCTAGCCATGATGGGTTAGAGGTTACTCTGGAAAGACCTGGTGTCTAAGTGAGATCATGATAGTCTAGGGTTCTAGGAGTTTGGGGGAGAACATTTTTCAACATGTAACAGAAACTTAGAAGGAGATTTAAAACTTCAGCCTGCTTCTTCAGGGAAGTGGATTAGGAGGTAGTGATGTGAATAGCAGTTCCAGGAAGAATTCCTCTCCCAACATGGCATGGAGGAGGCACTCAGAGGACTTTCTGGAGAAGGATCCTATGTGCATCCCTGTGTGCTCATGAATCAGATGGTTCACTTATTCAGCAAGTGTTCGTTGAGGCCCAGTGGCATTTCAGGAAGTGAGTTAGACCTGCTATATGTGATGCGTGAAGTTAGTTTTGAAACCTCCTTCTTCACCCCCTCCTCAAATCTGTGAATGGATTTCTTCTAGAGATTGTTATCACCCAGAAAGAAGTCATGACCATCCTGCTTTTTGTTACTGTCCCCCATGGTGAGGGTAAATTACACCTCGGGTCTTATGCTTTCTGGCTTATTCATTTAAGTTTTTCATATTTCCATTAAATTTTTCTCCAAGAGTTGTTTGCCATTGCAATAAATCACAGTGATGTATAAGGAAGAAATTAAGTCTCTCTGCACACTATTTGGCATGTGTCTTTCTCTGTCCCACCTCCCAATCATGCATTGTGTGGTTGCGGTTGTTCATGTTCTTTGCTTGTGTTTGCAGTGTCAGTGGGACTGTCATGCATGTTTCCCATAGCTGATGTTTCCATGATCTCTCATAGTTTAGCATACCAGTTTATCCAGTTATGAACCTACTGGAAGATGACCATTAATTGTTAAGACTCTGCATAGTAGCCTTGAGTTCACTGTGGATGAGGTTCTGGATTCTTCCATTTTGATGTCTTTTCTGGGGTTAGTGATATCCTGGAAACATGAGGACCTCTGTGCCTTCTTTCCCTTTTGTACCTGTCATCTTATCCATTATCCCTTTTCCAGTGTCTGCCAGCCACCCTAGCCTTCAGTTGTGGCTTAGCTGAGCTCTTCTGCAGGACCTTCTCCCCTCTGTGTCTCAGCCTGTCTTGTACCAGTTTATTTCCTTGCTTCTGACTTCCCTTGAACAACCATCCCGGGCTCTACTCAGCCTGTGTCCTTACTGCAGTGTTTCCAAGTTGTATTTCAGTTCTTCTTAGCTTTACCCCTTCCCTGAAGTATGCCTCTCATGCGTCAAAATCCTGATAGAAACGCACTTAGTGCCTTTTTGTGAGTTTCTCCTATGCTGTGGGAACGGGGTATGTACTTCTCTCTCTCTCTCTCTCTCTCTCTCTCTCTCTCTCTCTGTCTGTGTGTGTATGTTGTGGTGTGTGTGTGTGTGTGTGTGTGTGTGTTGTATACTGAATGCATGGGTGAGAAGAAGTGTTTCTTTGTGTGTGTCCATCCTCTCCCATTAACCCAGACTTCATCTCTTTGTCCCCTACAGTGAGGGTTCCCTATTTCATTGACTTGAAAAAACCACAGGATCAAGGTTTGAATCATACCTGCAATTACTACCTCCAGCCAGAGGATGATGTGACTATTGGAGTCTGGTGAGTGTCTACAGCCAAGGTTGCAGGGTAGAGGCACTAGCTTCTTTGGTCTCCTCGGGAGGCTACAAGTCCCTGCTCAGCTCTGGCAGTGTCCTTGAGTACTGTTGCTTGTTTTTTATCTTCACCCATTCTCAAGGCCAAGAGAAGAGCTCAGCTAAATTTGATCTCAGTGGTGCAGAGTGAGATGGCACCAAACTCTATCCTGAGGTCTTTGAAACAGCAAAAGCTTTGTAACCACATTGTTTTTAGAGTCTTATTTCCAAGTTGTTTTTTTTAAACCAAACAGTCTAGAGACAAAAGGAATGTAAGCACACAATCAGAAATACAGGCTTGAATGTACCTTTTAGAGAACTGACTGCTGCCTGTAGTACTTCTCAGGAGGGAGCCTCAGAGGGACGTTTATGCTTTCTTTCCATAAATTTACACTGGATGTAAGCCCTGTGACTTCTCTGTGTAAGTGATGATTCCTAAATAGCAGGGTCAAAATTGACCAGAATTGCATCAGCGTTTCTTTTTTTTTTTTTTCTCAGAAGCAGCTCTGAATAACTACCCCTTTATCTTAGCTGGGTCTATTTTCCAGTTGCCATAAAGTCTCTTTCTGCAGCCTTAGAAACCCACCGTGTATGTGAGATGTTTATAAATGAACCCGGTGAGTAGGCTGCCAGTGTGGATGAGGGGACCTTCGATCGACCGTCTGTGGTAAAGAAGAAAGAGCAAGAAGGGAGGCTCTTGCTCTCAGCAGAGGACATTGGGAGTAGTTTTGTCATTTTCTTGTTTGATTTAAGTGAGCAGTAGCTGACCCATGTGTGCTTTTGGAACTGTCAAGAATCTGACTTGCTTTGTCCAGAGCTATATGGGGGGGGGGGTAGATGGTAACTGGCCGGTAAGCAGGAGCAAGGCTCTTGTCTTGTGTAGGAGGTGTGTCATGGCGGTACTTAGGCAGAAGGTATCGACAGCACCTGTGTACATTGTTAAGTTCCCACAAGAGTTAGAGTGATGGCTATTTACATCTCAAGGCAGTAGATGGCAGCTGCTGCTCCTGCCTGTTCCTGACCATTCCACGACCTTGGACCTTAGGAAGCAACGGGCTGTGCTCTCAGCTGCCCCTCACTACATCTCTGCAGATTCTCCCACCAGCTTGTGCAAAGGCCTGGGTGGAGCCCAAGCAGTTCTTAGCTACCAGGTCAGTGTTAGCTACCCTCTGCCAACTGGTTGGAGGTGTGCCCACTGGGCCTCTGCCAAAAGCTCCAAAATGGCACAGTCTGGCTTCTAGAAGAATATCAGCTCCAAACATCAAATAGGCTCCGGTCTTTCCCCCACTACTCCATTAACACGGTATATTGCATAGCCTGGCCGAAAACTCCTAGGATCTAGTAATCTTCCTGCCACAGCCTCTCAGGTATCTGGTACTATAGCTTGTGATTGTATGGGATGATTATAGTGGCTAGAAACATGAAAACATTATCCTCATGAATGGACAGGAGAGATGCATTAAAAATGAGAAAATAGCCAGGCAATGGTTGACACACACCTTTAATTCCAGCATTTGGGAGAAAGAGTTTGAGGACAGCCAGGGCCATGCATAGAAACCCTGTCTTGAAAAAAGCGAGAGGGGGGTGGCAAACTTGGCTACTTGATTTTAAAAGATTCATGTCACTGGCATCCGAATGAATTTGGCTAAGATTTTTAGAAGAAAAGTAGACATCAATTTAGACCTTTCCCAGTGATTAACAGTATTCGTGTTGGCATTTGTATATCTCTAAAGGAGAGTTTGGCTAAATAAAATAACAATATCCAAGAGCCTAGGTTAACCTGGCTTTGGTGAATTTGCCCATGCATTTATGGCCCTAGAATGCAGGAAGTTTCTATCTAGGAAGTTCTAGTTAATGCAGGACAGATTTCTCTCACATCAGGATAAAGGCCACCAGAACAAGAGAGGCCCTTTTGCTTTGTCTAAGGCTGGCAGCTTACAATTCTAGTTACTTATTTGAGGGATAAGTTATTCTGCCACCTACCTGTTAGTCCACTTGTGTGTAGATAGGAGTTCTGCTGCTTTCTGTCTCCTCAGACCTTCATATAGGTGTCACTGTCTGTGAAGAAGGGGCATCTGACTTTGCTCTCTCCCTCTGCTTTTGTTTCCAGGCACACCATCCCCTCCATCTGGTGGAAAAATGCCCAAGGGAAGGACCAGATGTGGTATGAGGATGCTCTGGCTTCTAACCACCCCATCATTTTATACCTGCATGGGAATGCAGGCACCAGGTAAGCTCAGACACGAGGTGTAATCTCTGTGCAGCATCACCTGGCTCCTTCCTAGGCTGGAAATGCATTAGGTTAGTCTATCTAAAGTGGGCCTGTGGTCTACATAATCAGGTTTACTGACCTACCTCATGCAAGGAAGCTTCTCTAGAACAAAAGAAAGGTAGGGAGAGTTTAGAGGCTGGGGCTGGGAGAGTTTAGAGGCATCTCTGTGTGCTAAGTACCAGTGGGTCTCATCTACCCAGAGCTCCCTGGGAGATAGTGCTGAGCAGCAAGCAGCTTTGGAAGTTGAATTTTAATTCGGTGGAGGGGGATGTTTCTCTGCCAGAGAGACTGAGCTCCTCCAGCCATAGGGTATCCTTCTTCCTGCTTTAAGTCAAAGGGTACTGTGTCTGCTAGTGTGTAGTTTAGGAATCAGGGCTTCTCTTTAAGGAAGTGGTAGTCACTCAAGGGGTGGTGATGACACTTGTTGGTGGCTTCAATACACCTTGAGGAAAATGATGACTGCCTTTCACCTGTCTGAGTTTGCTACCAGTGGGATAGCCCCAGGGTGTAGACTAGGGTGACTATAGGAAAGGTAGGCACATTTCTTTATTTCTTTTTCTCTTTCTTTCTTCCTTCCTTCTTTTCTTCCTTCCTTCCTTCCTTCCTTCCTTTCTTGATTTTTTTTAAAAATTTATTAATTTATTTTTATATTACAATCCCAGTTCTCCCTCCCTTCTCTCCTCCCTATACCCCTACTTCTCCCTACCTTCCATTTGTTCCTTAGAGAGAAAGTCTGCTAAGTCTGTCCTATCATCTCATTGAGTCATGAACAAGCCTTCCACTTCCCACCCCCACCCCTGTGTCTAGGCTGAGCAAGGTATCTCTTCATATAGAATGGGCTCCATAAAGTCAGTTTGTGCATTAGAGTTAAGATCTTGGACCCACTGCCAGTGGCCTCATATATTGTCCCAGCCACACCAGTGTCACCTTTATTAAGGGAGTCTAGTTCAGTCTTATGTAAGTTCCTGAGTTGTCAGACAGGAGTCAGTGATCTCTCACTAGCTAAAGTCAGCTGATTCTGTGGGTTTCCCCATGATGGCCTTGACTCCTTTGTTCAGATTATCACTTCTTTCTTATTTTGATTGTACTCCAGGAGCTCGACCCAATGGTTGGTTGTGGATCTCTGCATCTGCTTCCTTCTGTTTCTGAAAGAGGGTTCTGGTTTCTCTGTGGTTGTGGATTGTAGACTGGGTATCTTTTGCTTTATGTCTGGTGTCTACTTATGAGTAAGTACATACTACATTTGTCTTTCTGGGTCTGGGTTACCTCACTCAGGATGTTTTTTCCTAGATCTATCCATTTGCCTGCAAATGTCAGGATGCCAGGTTTTATCTTTGTTTTGTTTTTATGTTTTGTGTGTTTGTTTGTTTTTGTTTCCCAAAACAGGGTTTCTCTGTATTGCTTTGGAGGCTGTATCGTTTGGTTAGTTTGGATGAAGGTTTGTCTGTTTTGTTGAATTTCTCGAAGAACCAACTCACCAACTTTATCTAATTGATTCTTTGTATTGTTTTTCTTTTTTTCTATTTTATTGATTCAGCCCTCAATTTGACTATTTCTTACTGTCTACTCCTTCAGGGTGACTTTGCTTCTTTTTGTTCTAGCGCTTTCAGTTGTTCTATTTGTGAATTAACAGATTTCAAGTCTTGAATTGTTTCCTTCACTTGTTTGGTTGCTTTTTTGTTTTGTTTTTATTTTCTTTAAGGCATTAAGGCATTTGTTGATTTCTTCTGATTTTTTTTTCCTCTTTTTTTTTTTTTTTTTGTTTTTTTGTTTTTTGAGACAGGGTCTCTGTATTGCTTTGGAGCCTGTCCTGGAACTAGCACTGTAGACCAAGCGGGACTTGAATTCACAGAGATTCACCTGCTTCTACCTCCTGAGTGCTGGAACTAAAGGCATGCACCACCAATGCCTAGCTTTTCCCTCCATTTCTTTAAGAGAGTTTTTCATTTCCTCTTTATGGGCCTCAATCATCCTCATAAAGTTATTTTTAAGGTTGTTTTCTTCTGCTTCATCTGCATTGGGATGTTCAGGTCTTGCTCTTGTAGTACCACTAGAAACTAGTGGTGCTATATTGCTCTTTATTGTTGAGTGTGTTCTTACCTTGTCTTCTACACATCTCTTTCTCCAATCAGTATAGGTAGAGCTTGGGCTTCAGGGGACATCTCTCTTTCTACCATTGGTATAGTTGGGGGCTGTGGCTCCATTGACTACTCCTTCAGGTGCAAGCAGGGCAGAACCTCCATTGATAGCTCCTCTTGGTGGAAGTGGGCCCAAGGCTTTAGTTGGTGGCTCCTCAAGGTGCAGGTGGTGCTACAGTTCCGATGGACACTCCTACCATTAGAGGTGGGGCCATGGCTCTGGCGATTGCTTCTCTAGGTGTAGATGGGACTGAGGTTCCAGTGGTCACTATAGAAGCAGGGTATCTCAAACTGAGAAATAGCAGTGGATGCTGGCTGGGACACAGGTGCTCTTTCCCAGAGGAACTTCTTGCGATTGCTTCTGGTGTCCACTGCTGGAAGCCGGTACTATAGTCTCTCCCGGTGGTTACTCCCTGATCCTGGGTGGTGGCTCAGGCCTCCCTCTGATGTTACTCCCAGGCCCGAGGCTCCTCTTCTTTTTTTTTTTTCCCACTTCTAAAAAATGAGATGATAGTATTGAAAAGTGGCCATAAGAAAAGCTGAAGGCTGAGCATGCATGGAAGTGTCCTGAGCTGCCTGTGCGGGTGAGCTATCTACTGGCATCCTTGACACAAGCAACAACAGTGTGTCCCAATGGGCTGTTGAAAAAGCACACACTGTCCATATGGGCCTTTCTCTTTTATCCCAGATGCTTCTCATGAGTGGGTTTAATGCCTTGGTCTAGTTTAAGCCGGATTTGTTCTCCCACCTAAAGAGTTCATGCTCTTTTTACACCTCAGCATGTTCAGAAGGGACAGAGTAGGAGGGGAGGTGCATTTTTTCTAAGGAAAGCATTGTTTGAAAATTCTATGGTCCCTTTTTCTGTGCCTCTTTGGGTTTCCTGTGAGAGAGCCCAGAGGAGCCAGAAGGGAGGCAGCCCTTCACCAGCAGGGTAGTGTGAGGTCGACCTTTCATAGGTAGAAACAGCAAGAAGAACAATGTATGGGTCTTTCTGGAGGCAAAGGCAGTCCAGGATAGATATCTGCTATGGAGCCATGCAGAGGGCATTATACAAAGAACCCAGAGCACAGCCCACGAGGCTGGCGTCTGTGCCAAGAGCAGAATGTTTGGCTACTGAGTCACACATGCTCTGCACAGTTTACACTCTGCTTTGTTGGGGACAAGCTGCAATAGTTTCTCTTCTGCTTTTCAAAGACCAAGTAGCTATAAACAGCCTTTGTACTATCTTTCCCTAAATGAGAAAATTATAGTTGGCTGTGACACTTGTTTCTGGTAGTCATGTGTTAAAGAAAAAGGACAAAGCTTTTCTGTAGCTATGTCTGAAAGGAATATGGTGGCATTCAATGATTTATTGTGCCTTCCTACGCCCAGGGCCTGCCTATAGCGCCTGCATTCTGTCCAGTTTTGTCTTCACCCCTATTTCTCAAAGGCTTTGGCTCACTTACCGAGATTCTTTTCTAGCCATCCCTCCCTCCCTAAGCAGGGTCCCTTCAGTCTCTATAGCATTTGAAGTCTCTCAAAGATGTGTCTTTCTGAGCTCTCAGCCCACTTTCTTTTTTCAGTTAATGGAGGGAGCTTGGGGCTTTTAGGAAAGCTATCTTCCAAAGATAACTAAAAACATCTGGCAGGATTTCCTGCTGGTCTTGAACACTTTTTTTTTTTTTTTTTTTTTTTTTTTTTTTGCATTTTTGTGCTGCAACGTATGGTTTCATGTGTCCCTGCAGTGGCCTTCCCACTCACCATATACCTGAAATGGCCTCAGTGCTCCTTATAAAAGAAAGAAAATAGGTTTGCGGGATGAAGAGAATAAGAAATGCTTGATAAGACTCTAGTATGCTGAGGAGTTAGCCATTCTCATACACTATGATGAGAGCTAAGGGACCTCCTGATGAAGGTCCAGTAGCTAGGTCCAGGGCTCACTTACCTGTGTCTAGGTATATTCCACATGTTTGTATGGCACATGCATGTGAAGAGATATCAGTGTAGCCTGACTAGGCAGTAGGCAGGAAGGAGCTCCCATGATAGGTCTAGATAGGTAATGAGGGTTGAACTAGGAAGGTACTTGGGCAAGTTCCTTGGGACACAGCTTCCATACACATAGGTAGTCTTGGCAAGGCCCTAGGAAGCTGGGGAAGGCCGAGTGGTGCAGGCAGTCTGGGTGAGGGTCTGTTGTGATTTTTAATTTGGGCAGTAAGTGTTCATTCCTACTGAAAAATTAAAGTATACACGGTAATTAAGAAATATCCCTAAGAAGAAAAGTTTGATATCATTTAGGGGAATCCAAAAGTCATGTGTCTACTATAGGACCTTTTTTTCCTTCCTTCCTCCCTCCCTCTCTCCCTCCCTCCCTCCCTCCTTCCCTTCCTCCCTCCCTTCCTTCCTTTCCTCCTTTCTTGGTTTTTTGAGACAGAATTTCTCTGTATTGCTTTGGAACCTGCCTTGGAATTAACTCTATAGACCAGAATGGCCTCAAATTGCTGGGATTAAAGGCATGCGCCACCAACGCCTGGCTTCATAGGACCTTGAAATGGGGTTTGGGATCCCAGATTGAAGATTTAAAAATATATAAGTATGCATGTCTGCATGAGTTTATGTGCATTATGTGCATGCAGATGCCCACAGATGACATGGTAGAGGGTATTAGATCATATAGAACTGTAGTCACAAACAGTTGTAAGCTGCCCAATGTGGGTATTGGAAACAACCCAGGTCCTCTGCAAGAGCAGTAAGCATTCTTAACTACTGAGTCATCTCTCCAACTCTGGGGTCCCAGACTCTTGAGGATCTTCCTTTGCCTCACCTTGAGCATGGGAACTAATACCACTTCCTATTTATTTCTCTTTCATGCTGCAGAGGAGGCGATCACCGCGTGGAGCTGTACAAGGTGAGTGCTGATGGATCAAAGGAGCAGTGCTGCTAGCTACAGGATGCTGGAATAGAAGGGGTCACTTGAACTAGCCACTCTGAAAAGTCACCATTCATGGACATGATGAAGGTGATGCCTGGCTAGTTCCCATGGCTCTTAGATTGTGCTGCTTCTGGGGTAGGCTCCAGAACCAGTGTGTACATGTATTTGCTAATGAGATGAAAGGCATTTGCCATAGTTTTAAGCAATGTGCTCCTCAAATATAGAAGTGCTGAGGGAGCTATCCTTACTATAGGATCACCCTTGGGGTGTAAGGAGTATAAAGGCAGGTAGAATTTGAGCCAAGTTCCAGACAGGCTTGGTAAAAGCTCCTGTAAGTAAATGTTCATACCTAAGTAAATGTTCATGCCTTAGGCATGACATAGAATCCCTTTTGTTTTTGTAGGTTTTTTTTTTTTTTTTGGTGTGTGTGTGTGTGTGTGTGTGTGTGTGTGTTTGTGTTTGTACAGTGCAAATCAGAGGAAGTCAGAGGACAGCTTGTGAGAGTTGACCTTTCCTTGCACCGTGTGAATCCTGGGTATTAAACTCAGATTACTAGGCATTGCAGAAAGTGTCTTTACCTGTTACCATCTTGCCAGCCCTGTGGTTTTGTTTTTTGATGTTGGTACAGCATGCTTGGTGGCCCATGCCCACTCTCCTCTGCTTTGAGAGTTGTGTGTATCTAATAGAGCAGAAAAGAATATACACAGATAGGTGGGCCTATTTTGCTCTGGGTAGTGGGAAGTTTTTTATACTCTTGAATAAACTGGATCAAGACAGGAAAGGTAAGAGGCTTTGAAGTTAGAAGTTCCCTTGATGTTTTTGTGGTAGAAAAGAATCTCCTTGTCTAGGCCCACGAGGCTTTGAGTGTATGTAGGCTAGGAGGGGCCAGGATTCACCAGGCTGCCCAGGAAAGCACCATGTCATCCTGAAGGTAGAATGCTAAGTGTTTCTCAGTGACAGTGGTGATGTGGAAGTCTCTTTCATTGTTCTAGGCATACCCTAGCCAGTGTATTGGGCACTGCACATGAGTAATGACCTTAATGAGAATGGACAAGGACAGCTAGTAAGTCTGTAGGGATTTTTAAAATAATAGAGAAATTCACCAAAATCAGAGAAATAGAAGGTTACAGGAAGGGTCCTCAAATGAGTTTCTGAGGTTCACCAATATGCTGGCTGTCTTAGGCCTGCTGGTGGTACCCGAGAGCTGTCTGCTGCCCTGTGTTGTGAAGCATCATCCTGGGAACTGTAGGAGCTGGCCACTTGGCTATCTAGGCAGCAGCAGCAAAGCCACCCTTCCTGTGTTGCTCAGCCAGAGGAAGTGAAAACATCCTACAGTAGTAAGTCTAGACAAGAGCTACCTGCCAACAATCTGTTAAGTGCCCATTGTATGCAAGCCTCATGACAGAACTCTGGATGGGTTTAGCAGGGAGAAAGCCTCTCAATACAAGACATGTTGCCAATGATGGATGTTTTTCACTTCACAGGTGCTGAGTTCCCTTGGTTACCATGTGGTCACCTTCGATTACAGAGGTGAGGTTCTTTTTGAATGTATCTCTCAAAAAACCAAACAAAAGAATTTATCCAGGCATGCCCTCACTTCTGATTGTACATCACTGGCAGATTTGAGTGAGAGCTTGGAACCCAGGCAGTCGCTTGTTTATGCATTGCTGGGCCTGCAGGGCTATGTTGTCAGTGAGAGGAAGGGTAGGTGGTAGACGTCCTGCTGTAGCTTCTGGTGCTGACTTTACTGTCAGTGCCCTGATAGTAACATTTAAGTGCAGAAAATACTGTCTTTTCTCCTCACGGGACTCAGATTTTCCCTGCAGCTGGGCATTAGACATGGGCTTAGTAGCAGAGGTAGACTTGGTGAAATGATGAAAACAAGAAAAAGATTCATTGAGAACAGAGAGATTCCTCCATCTTAATGGCCTTGCTTCTTTTTGTATTTAGTCAGGATTGCCACTGGGCAGACTGTGAATCCAGTTTGATGTGTGCTATGAGCATTCTAATTAATGAGCAGCAGATATACTTTTTTAACAGTGAGCAACTATTGGAGAGCTCAAGGGAAAAGGCTGCTTAGCGAGCTTGTTTGATTCTTCTGGAGAAGGGCAGTTATTCAGAAGTCCTCAGGCTAAGCTGTTCAGAAGGGATGGAAACCACTGCCACCTGCAAGTAGGGTTTATATCAGTTTTCTTTTGTTAATGTAACAAATTACCACAAACAGAATATCTTAAAACAAAGCAAATTTATTATCTTGTCATTATAGAGATCAGAAATCTAAAATCTTTAGCCTCTGTAGTAGAATTAAAGTTTCTGTGGGCTTTGTTCTTCAGGATTTCTAGAGAGACCTTCTCTAGAGAGATCACTTGCCTTTCCTAGCTGTAGACACCACTACCCCCTTTGACTCATGGGTGTTTGGACCCTGGCATTTGACCTCCCTTTCTGTTATCAAAATGTTTATGAATCCTTGGGCTTTACCCAGATGATCCAGTATCACCTTATTTCAAGGTTGGCCCATTAGTGGCCTTCATTCTTTCTGCAGCTTAACTCCCTGGCTTGAGGGTCACATGCTTACCAGTCCTGTGAATTAGATGTGGACTTCTCCAGGAGTCACTGTTCTGCTGCCTACAGTGATGGCTTTCAATAAAGTTCCATTAAAGGTGGCACACACCTTTAATCCCAGCACTCCGTAGATCTCTGAGTTTGAGGCCAGCCTGGTCTATAGAGGGAATTCCAGGACAGCCAGGGCTACACAGAGAAACCCTGTCTTAAAACAAAATGAAACAAAACAAACAAAAGGATGAATGTTATGGGCTCAGAAAAATTAAGTGAAGAGCTGGAAAGCCCTGCTCCTTTTCCTGCCTTCTTCCTTCTCCATGCTGCAAAGGTTTTTAGAAATATTCTTCCTGGTGTGTGCTGAGACCCTAGGGTAATGAAAAGAATGCCTCCTTCCTGTGTTCTCTTCCTGCAGTCTGTCAAGAAGACATTCCTGCACCTTGTCTCTCCAGGCCAAATCTGCCTGCCTGTGTGGCCTGGGACCGCCCCATCCCCTCTCTGACTCTGCTCCTCTTTTCTGTTACTCTGTCTCTCTTCATGTCTTGCACATGATATCCCGAGCCTTTACCCATGTCCCTCCTCAGTAGTTCTTCTGGGGTTGGGAGGCTGACATTATAATTATGGGGTTTGCTCACACAGCAGAATTGCATTTCTGAGCCTTGTGGTGTATTCAGGTCATGTGATGATGACTCAGTGCTGAGCCACTGAAAAGGCAATTGTATTTATCTTTGCTGGAGACTGTGAGAAGAATCTCTCCACCTCCCTGGAGCTTCATGACTTCCTCCTTTCTGACCTGGTGTATCTGTGGGCAGACTGGGCTGGCCTGGCTCTCATGAGCTTCAGGGCTGGCCTGTCAGTAGAGCAGAGGAGGAACTAGGCTGGATGTTTACATCTGTGGGCAGGCGCTAGCAAGACATGTGTTTGAGGTTGAGGTTTTGCTGACTCTGTTCTGTTAGTTACCAATCTGATGTGCATGTAGAATGATAAGGACCTCTGGCTTGTCAGCCAGCAGAAGTAGGAGAGGTTCACTTCCAGACCCTCCTGCCTGTCTCCCTGCCACCAGAGCTGGAGCAGAAGTGAGGGCACAAATGTGCTTATAGGGCAGCTTCTGTGGAGGCTGCTTTAGTTTCACACGCTGCCTTTGACATTCTTCTTTCTCAGGTTGGGGTGACTCGGTGGGAACACCATCGGAGCGAGGCATGACGTATGATGCACTCCATGTTTTTGACTGGATCAAAGCAAGAAGTGGTGACAACCCTGTGTATATTTGGGGCCATTCACTGGGCACTGGGTAAGAACGCTCAGGCAGGAGGGAGACTTAGTGAAGGCAGGCCTAGTTTGTGACCTCTGAAGCAGCCCAATGCCTCTGAGCTGATAGCAGCATCCATCCTTGCAGTCTTGGTTCCTGGCCCTGTGGTAGGGGCTAAGGGAATAAAGCACCATGAGGGACTAAGGGGAGATTGGATTTCTATAACTATTCCTCAGTTCGGAAGTGCTTTAGAACCAATATAGACAGTGGTGATGGCAGCCAGTGTTGCAGGGAACTCTTGTCCCCCAGAGCATCTTCGGAGTGCTGGTAGAACACCTAGACTGTGTCAGGTTGAATTCATGTGTGTTTACCAACCATTGAGTCCAAGAACACTATGCTATGTAGAGATGTTTGGAAGCCCCTTTGTCACTTTGCCGTGTTCAGCGCAGTAGGGAGGATTGCCCATAGGGAAAGACCTATGGGCAATCTGGGTTCTGCTCAGCAAGGTCCCAGATGTTCTGAAAAGAGCCTTAGCCCTCAACCTTCCTGATACCTCCCCCTGTAGGCATACTGGCTCAGCTCTTTCGTAGCCCTTTTTCCTCACTTGGGTGGAATCCTGTAGGACAGGGTTACCTGTCCATCTTAGGGAGAGTGGGGATAGCGCATGGAAGGATACGCCATCTCTGTGGCTGCCTGCACAGAATCTGCCAGGTGTTAATCCTGAGACAACAGGAGGTCACAGGATGGTAACAGCTATCACCCCACCAGGGCACCAGCTAAGGGAAGGGCCAGGGAAATCTGCGGGAGACTTCCTGGAGAGAGATCACATGCCTGAGGACAGGAGGGATGGCTGTTGGCACCTTTTTAAAAGGGTCAAGTGATGGCTCACCTTCTTTCTCCCACTTAACCTTGAAGCCCTAAGTTAGCTTCAGGTCAGATTCCTGTCAGGAGCAATGCAATCTCATTGAAAAGAATTTTCATCATAATTCAGCTGAACTCTATTTTTTTCTTCCCAGAGTGGCGACAAATCTGGTACGGCGCCTCTGTGAGCGAGGTGAGGGAGCCAGGTGCTGTGGCTGGGCACCTTGTTGTACATGTTAGAGGTCCAGCCCCTGCTACACAATCTTGCCAAGCAAGTTCTAACTGGCAAGCAGCACAGTGATGGCATGAGCTGACCATCAAAGGCGGGGCCCCTGGTGTGCTCAGAGTTTACCCAACCTGTCCCAACAGGATCCTCAGAAGTCATCGGGGCCCCTTGGGGGCTGGGCCTGATGGTAGTGGGAGGCCTGCAGAAGTGGGTACCTGGGCTCCCTGTCCTATCTAAGCTCCCCAGCCACCCAGCTTCTTAGCCACTATCAGCTCTTGTGTTTGCTTATCTAGAGACGCCCCCAGATGCCCTTATATTGGAGTCTCCTTTCACAAATATCCGTGAAGAAGCAAAGAGTCATCCATTTTCAGTGGCAAGTATATGCTTTTATGAAAATTTATTTTCATTATTGACATAATTGCTATGAAAATAAGAGCAAGTAGATGATGAAAACAGTTTAGTTTGATGTTACTGAGGGGCTCCCAGTTCTAGGCACTGACCTGCCCAGAGAGCTTCCAGAGAGGGAGGATCGCTTTTAGCCAGAGACACTGGTACTACAGGAGCCGTGGCCCTGTGGCCTTATTGTCTACCCAGTACCCATGTGGCTTCACTGCACACCTGATCTCACAGCATCACTGTCCACTTGGGGCTGTGGAAGGCTGCAGACTATCTGCCTCCTTGGGGTGGAGTCCATACTTTGGTACTAGAGGATGATTGGAACTCAGACTCGGTGCACTGCAGTGTCTCAGAGTAAAGTCCACGTAATCCTTGCTGGGGGGCTCTAGGGTGGGCCACTCCCTGCCCTTTTCCTCATTAGTTGGGACCCATCCTTTCTTCTGGCCTACCCTCCCACCTTCCCACTTCAGCTCCCGACCAGTGTGTGTGTTCTGGAGTCTTTGTTGACATGATCTCATGCTACCACCTGTGTGGGCCAGAGCACCCCTTTATTTTCTCTCATATAGTTGTTACTGCTTTTTTTCTGACATTTTGTGAGGAAGCTAGCCTTTGGTACCTATTTCCTTGGTGGGTAGTGGCTTTTGTCTGTGGGGAGTCTGATTTCTCAGCAGGATTCTGGTGTACCTGAGGTGTAGGAGCCCCATGTGATCAGTGGGGCTGGCAGATGAGTCTTCTGACTCCAGCCACAAAGCCAAGAGAAAGCTGGGAATGGATGGAAACTACACATCCCCCTAACTCCCTGAACCTAAACTACCAGAACTCTTGGCCTTTCCCCTCCGCTCAGCTGTCTTAATCCTTCTGAAAAATGCTTTCCATCTTGTCTTGTGTTCAGATATATCGGTACTTCCCTGGCTTTGACTGGTTCTTCCTCGATCCCATTACAAGCAGTGGAATTAAGTTTGCAAATGACGAAAAGTGAGTATTGTGGCTGCAGTCCTGTTAGCCTGACAGAATGGGATTCAGAAGATTTATGGTTGGTCTCTGAGAAAGTGTCTGTCGACATTTAAATGGCAGGCAGGGGCATATGCAGGCCACGGTTTGCCTATGAAGTCAGAGTTTCGGGTGTCGGTTTTCTCCTTCCACCTTTTAGGCAGGTTCTCTTGCTGTCTTTGCCATTCTGCATGCTCTAGGCTAGTTGACCCACAAGGTCCTGGGCCATTCTCCTGCCTCTGCCTCCTTTCTTAGTCAATACAGGGTCTAGGATTTTTGGATCCCTGCCATCACATTTATCTTTTTTTTTTTTTTTTTTGTCTTGTCAGGCTTGCACAGTGAGTGCTTTTACCCACTGAGCAAGTAGATAGATTATGATACAGTTTTTTCCAATGGCACAGAAATAGACTTTTAAAAGACTAATAGCACATTTTTGCTCACATAATTCTTTTTTCAGTCTTGAAACCATGACTCCTGAATAGACATTAAAACAGTATTTAAATTTAACAGTGAAAACTATTAAAATAGATGTTTAAACATAAAGTAGTCTTCCTCCAAGTATGTATTTTTGTTCTAAAAATAAAAATGCACCAGGTTAAAATTTCAGTAAGCTATTACAAACAAAACCCCTTGCTTAAGTGTTGCCATTGTAGATCTTAAAGGGAAGTTATCAGTATAAAGCAAATTTCTTTAAAAACAAAAGTGAACAGTAGTCCTGGAAAGCTGACTTTGGCTCTGACTCTCCCACAAAGCTAGTTGGCATAAGAGTGGCATGCTGCAATGGAACCCTGAACCTTCATGTCAATCTCTTGCCACTTCCTCCAGGAGGCTCAGGCTGAAGGAACCAGCTCATCAGATGCTCCGCCTAGGGGGATAGCTTAATTAGTGGAATGCTTACCTTGGAAGCATGAACACCCGAGTTTAAGCTCCAGAACTCGGAAAGCCAGGCAAGATGATGCTTGTAATCTCAGTGCTAGGACCTGGGGCTCTATGGCCATCCAATCTAGCCCTGCCTGCTGAATTCTAGGTTACCTGTTTCAAAACAAAAGGTGGACGGGCCCCTGAGGATGATGTCCAAGACTGCCCTCTGGCCTTTACCTACACGTGCATACGTGTGTAGGTATATCTACAAGAAATGTCCCACCGAGTCATGTGTGTGCTGGGTGCCACTAGTAGGAGGTTATGTTTGGGTAGCAGGCTGTCTGAAGGCTAGGTCCTGCCCCATGTGCTAGGATGGCACTGTGCTGCCCTCAGGGAGTGCACAGCCCAAGTAGCTACCTCAGTGGTCCTGTCCAGTCTTGTCAGCTTGTCTTTCTGCTAAGGCTTGTGGAAGAACTCTGGCTCAGTTGGACTTATTGTCCCATTTACTGTTAAAGGATCAAAGTTGAGAGTTACTTAAATGTCAATTACACCAAAGATTAAATAGAATACTGATTTTTTTTTTTTTTTTAAAAAAACAACAGATTCATAGTAACATGTACTTGCTGCCTTCCTCTGCCAAGACAGTTTCTCTGTAGCTTTGGAGCCTGTCCTGGAACTTGCTCTGTAGACCAGACTGGCTTCGAACCCCTGCCTCCTGAGTCTTGGGATTAAAGGCGTGCCCCGCCACCTCCAATGCACTTAAATACTCCCACTTATAAAGATTATCTTTTTAACTTTTAATATGTCTACTGGCAAATATAATGGTTTTCAGTTTTCATAAAATACACAGGGGTCAGATGTTGGGGAGTGAAATGACCTCTGGAATACATACTAATTTAAAAAACAAGAAAACAAAACCCTGAGAAGTTATTTCTTAGCTCTGTAGTGAAAAGAAACCCAGCTACATTCAGACAGTTAAGCACCAAGGCAAAGCACACTGTAAACCCAGGTCCCTGCCCAGGGTGAGGGGTACAGGTGACCCCTCTTTGGTCTCCACCTAGCCCCTCTCTCCTGTAGTGTGAAGTACATCTCCTGTCCCCTGCTCATCTTGCACGCCGAGGACGACCCAGTTGTGCCCTTCCATCTCGGCAGAAAGGTAGGTGCTGTGTGACTCTGCCCCTGGTACAGTAGGTGCCATTGGCCCCAAGTCTGGACCAGGTTGGGCATGCAAGGTAGGGTGGCAGCCCCTATGTACTTTGTAATGGAGTGGGTTCAGGTCACACTAGTCTGCATCTTCTTCAGGTGCTTGACAGCCTAAGAGGTCTGATGTCAGAGTCAAGACCAGACTGCTGTTCTGTCCGCCAGAAACTGTGACAAGCAAGCATTAGAACTCAGGCTGACAAGGGAGGACTGAGGGGACAACATCCGGTCTGCCGGCAAAACTGATGTAAAGACATCCAGACGTCTTCGTGCCTTTGGGGATAAACTGCAGGGTCTTTGCACTTGATTCTACAAAATCTGCTTTGATTCTGCTGCTAGGAAGCTGGATTAGTTTTGTGGAGGGGATAAAAGTGGGGTAAAGAACAGCATGTAGGCTCTTGGCAGCATATGTTCATATGCCAAGGAGCAGGCGAGCCTAGAGGAGTGCATGCTGTGCCTCACCAGCAGACTTGACCTAGGACTCACATTGAGCAGGCTTCATAAAGTACAGACAATGAAGCCATTCCAGAGAGTGTGACCTGCTCAGCAGTGGCCCTGTGGTCATGGAGCTGAGGTGGGATTACATTGTTTCTGTCATTGGAGCTGTCCCCTCTTAGCCTTTTCTCAGAAGAGCACCCTGGAGATACAAGGGTAAAAAAGGGTCTTAAATGGTGGGCTTGAGTAGCCGTTCCTAGTGTTTGGCCCCTGGTAACCCACACTCTGGCTTCTTGGACCTTGGCTGTTGCAAGCTATAATAACAGAAAGTGTCCATGGGCTCTTGCACTGTTCTCTGGAGGAAGCATCCAGTCTTTGTTGCAAGAGAGGTCTCCATTGGGCTCTGGGCTGATTCATCTCTCCCTCTCACCAGCTGTACAACATTGCTGCACCATCTCGAAGCTTCCGAGACTTCAAAGTTCAGTTTGTCCCCTTTCACTCAGACCTTGGCTACAGACATAAGTACATCTACAAGAGCCCGGAGCTTCCACGGATACTGAGGTGAGACATTCTCTCTCCTAACCCCTGAGCCTCTCCTGAATAGTGATGGCCTCACAAGTAGCTGTGCAGCAAGTGGCAACCACTGATGCCATTGGAGGTGGCATGTTGCAGGGTCACCATGATTTAAGAGCTCCCACTGACAACACAAAGGCATTACAAAGTCTGTTTCTGGATAATTCTGATTAGATGGGGCATATGGTCTCCCTGTACACATTGTACAAACCCACATGAACATGTCTGGGGGAGTAGCTAACACACTGTGCACAAGCACTATCCTTACTTACAGACTGCTGTGTGTATAGGAGTGTGTGAACATTCTGAAACCTTTCAGTGTGCATATGCACCATTCCTGGTGTACAAAAGACCTCATATGTACAGGAGTACTCAGACACAGCTTCCTGAAGGGAGGCCATGTTTCTGGCTATGGAGCACTAATCATACTCTTGGACAGAATGTAGGCTGCAGCCCAGAAAGCCAAGGGCCCCATCTAGCCTGGGCCCAGAACCCAAGTGTGAGTGGGGGGTAACAAGGAGCAAGAGTTTCAAAGGACTCCCATGCGTGCCTATCCTCCATGCTTCTATGATTTCCCCATATCATCACCAAGCTCCTTGTCAGGTACCCAGGTTCCCCACATCATCATTAAGAGCAGCCCTGATCACAAGTCTAACCTTCCCTGTACACAGGACAAGGTACATACTTGGGCTGCTGTGTAGCATGTGACCCAGAGCACTGTTGTTGCTGAGAGTGACAGTTCTGCTTGTGCTGGTAGGCTTGAGTGGTTTAGAGGCCACTTCTAACCTGCAAATAAAACTGCTTCTAAATCGTCTCCCAAGGAGCAATGTCCTGTGTAAAATTATAGTCCATTCTCTGGCTCCTTTGAGAGTTTCCAAGGCAAAGCTACATTATAGTAAAGGATTCCTTGTCTTTGGGGACAGGGAGCTGAATAAATTGGGTTTGGGATTGACATCTTTCCCCTCATTATAAAAGGGAATATGGCAGAAAATTCCAATTGAATATGGAGCCCCAAAGCCTAACTTTGTCTTTACTTCCCCGCACTGGGATTTGACCTGGGAGCTGAGCTGCAGTGCCCGTCTGCCTCTTTCTTGTCAAGAGCCTCCTGCCCCAGGCTCGTTGCTGCCTCTACCACCAAAGACAGCCACTTGAGGAATGTGCGGAGTGGGATCTTAGCGCTAAGCACAGTTTGGCTCATGCACTTGTCCTCTTTTTGGTCTAGGGAATTCCTAGGGAAGTCGGAACTGGAACGCCAGCACTGAGACTGGCCCGTGAAGGAGCATGAAGACCCACCTTCCTTCCCTTCTCCCCTGGCCAGCAGTCTGGCACCCAGTAGCCCAGGGTGCCACCACCTGTGGTGCTCAGGAGCCCAGTGCGTACCTAGAAAGAGGACTCGGACACAGTGGGCAGAGGCTCTGCAGATGTGGATCTGTGAGGAAAACACGGTGGCAGGCAGGCAGCCTCCTGAGCCTCTGGTGGCCACCCTACCTGAGCTCTCTTTGGGAATGTTTACTGACAGCAAGTGGACCCCATATGCCTTGTGCTTGGGCATGGCAAACCTGGGAGGGGCCCAGGAATGCAGGACCACTCCAGGTTTTCTGGCACCACCACTTAAAATATGGGGAAATGGTTCTTTCTGCCCTCCCTGGCGTACGAAGAATGGACTCTTAAGTGGTTCGGTTTGTCCCCTTCAGCTTGTGTACCTGCTTGCCTTCCTCAGCTGACCCTGCCTCTCATGGCATCTGCTTACCCACAGTAAGGGGCACCTGGTTCTGCACTTCCTTCCATTCTGCCCACCTGTCTGTCATCTAACCTGGCTGTAGACTGAGCATTTATTTAAGAATAAAATCTTGGTGGTGGTCTATTTCTTGTTTTCTCTACAAAGTAGGAATCATTGTTGCCTCCTCTTCTGCACCAGGCACGATCCCCACAGGAAGTACAGGGCTTCTCCTAATGCCCGGGCACTGAGGTCTACCCTGATTGGAGGCATCTTTTCCGTATCTGCTAGGTAGCCTCTTCTAAAGGCAGTCCTAGACAGACTGCACCACCACACTGTGTGAGCATCGCCACCAACACACAAGCACTGCTCTTCCAGAGGTTATGAGCAGCACAACCAGGACTGAGAAATGTACCAGACACATTTCACCAGGTTGTCTTGATCTGTTTTGTTCAAACAGCCTGACTTGAAGCTACACACCTAGAGACCAAGCAGGGCTGAGAGTGTCAGAGCACAGAGCTTAGCAAGAACTGGCATGAGGAGCAGCCACAGGGGCTGTGGTCCTGAACATGCAGCTGAGTACAAGTGGCTATATCACCTGCATCCTCTGGATACAAGATCCTCTGGGTGCGTGTGAGCCCATGGAGGAGCCAGCCTTTCCTGATGGTAGACTTTCCCCAGGTCCTTAAACTATAGAACTTTACATCTCAAAGCACCAGTGCTGGGAGAGCTTGACCATCTGCCTGTTTTCCAAAGTCAGAGGCACAGCATTAGCAGGTGTGGGCTTAGCTGGAGGACCCATGCCTGGATCCTTAGTCTCACCCATTCCAAAGCACCACAGAGCTCCCTGAGAGATTCTCAAGACACGGGAAACAAACCTTCTCTACAACACTCAAGGACCAGGGATTTAGCGTTACTAAAGCGGGCCTGAGACAAGAACACCAAGCTTCCTTCTCTTTGCCTTTAACTGGGCATACCCATCTTGTGTTACCTGTCTTGTATTCACTGTCAACAGGGCAGGGCCATCAAGGAACCCTTGGCTTCCTTGCATAAGTGGTCTATGCCAGCATCCTGGGCCTCATCACCAAGGATCAACTATAGCCTGTTTTGTGTGGTGCCTGCCCTTATGGGAGTTACCCAAACACAGATACACATTGACCAACCATGGGCATAGAAGTTTTAATCCATTTCTCATACAAGGAGGTAACAGCAAGTAGTAGAGTGATGGTCACGTATCATGGCTTCAGGGACCTCATGCATAAGGCCACCACACAGGGCAGCAGATGACCAGCCCTAGAATCTGCTCACCCCATAAGCTATCACAGTGGCTCCGGTGACTTGAATACTGAAAGCAGACACTTCCCAGCAAATGCTGCTGGAGTGAGGGGAGGGACAGGGTCCCCTACCCACCCCTGCCCACCCCCAGCCAGTTATAGCAATGCAAGGTGACAGAAGCCTCTGGAAGGAGAGTCCCACGTAGTTTCTCTGGCAATCCACTCTCTTTGGGGCAGCACTTAATGCAGGTTCTGCCCTCAGGGAGGAGCACGGCTTTTGGAGTAAGGGGATGGGAGTGTTCACCCTCTCGTCCTCACTAGGCTGCTGCAGCAGAGTGGAAACTGGGCTGCTTTGGGCCCATGGACCCTCTTTCCAGACCTGGCTGGTGGAAATGGAGGCAGCATAGTGCCTGGTCTCTGTGCAGACAACAGGAAATGCACCCCAGGATGTGGACAGAAGTGTTAGGGGGACCCTACTGCAGGACAAGACGCTGACTCCACCAAAATATCCCTAAAGTAGCCAACTCTTGACACCAGACTGAGCTAGTAAAATGTTTACTTGCTAAAAAAGAAAGGCTTTAGCTAGTTTCAATTCCTCATGAAGTGTTATTTCCTGTTGGAAAAGTAGAACACCAACCCAACTCTATAAAATTACCAGTCTTTAACCAAGGCCTCAGATATGGGGTAAAGGTCCCTCTTCAGTGCTCCTTTCCTGAAGTCCTGGATTCTACATGACATCCACATGGTTCCACAGACAGCTACAGAGGCATGGCCTATATGGGTCAACAACTCATATCCCCAATACAGCCAGGGGCAGAGGACAGAGAGCTGTGAGCTTGAAACCTGAAGAAATGATTCTACCCAGCAGGACCATGGAGGCCACATACTGGGCTTGGCCTTACCCTACAGCTAGTGACCTCAGTCCTAGTAAAACACAGAAATACAGGCTTCATCACAGATCCCTATTCAGACTCCCAATCTAAAGGTTCAAAACTAAAGCCTTAAGCTCACTCAGTTAGCTATGTGCAGGGTTTCAGGGATTTAGCTCCATTCCCTGCTCACCCTCTGCAGGGGACCATCTCTGCCCATCTGTGCTGTGAACTCTGCAAGAGTTCTTTTGCGAGAAACCAGGAGGATGCCACACATTCCTTTATCCCCTCCTGGAAACATAGTGCATCGGATCGCAGGGACCAGTAGTTGCTTGTAGTGCTTGAGGACTGGTACAGGCACAGAGTCAGCCAAACAAGCCACCGGTCTCACTGTGTGGTGGGGTAATTAGTCCTTGGGGAGGTTGGGGGGTGGGATCTGCAGGTCGGAGGGCTCTACGCCCCAGATCTCCCTTGCGTACTCAGTGATGGTGCGGTCACTGGAGAACTTGCCAGAGCAGGCAATATTCTTGATCACCTTCTTGGTCCACTCCTTGGAATTCTGTCAGAGGAAGAGGACATGATTAACCTTTGGCAGAGATAAGGTGCCCTAAGAAAGTCCAAGCTTCTGGAACATGAGGACTGTTAACAGATGAGCGCTGAGCCTTGGAACAGCCTGGTAGTAGAAGAGACTGCAATCATATGCCCAGAGAAAAGGGGTCCTCACTGGCCAGAAGAGTGACATTAGATGTAAGGTACCAGAAGCTTAAGACAGGGTCACTGTCCTGTCCTCAAAAGGCTCCTAGGCATGGCCCACAACATTAAGCAGGGAGCACAGCCCTAGGCAACTAAATGTCCTAAAATGACTGCTCTCTTCTAAAACTTCAGTCCCATTACAACTTCCCCTGTACTTCAAACTCCTAGACTATATACAGCCTCCAGACTTCAATGGAAGAGGCCTCCTAGGAGGGGCTTAACTCCTGTGGCCAGCCCCCTGGATGCTGTTTTCAAGCCCCTCATTCTAGTCTCAGCTGTGAGGGGAGGTTCCCCCCATGACACCTAATGATAGGACAGCTGACCCTGAGGCAGGCTGGATATACTGATAACAAGGCACCCCACCAACAGGTCCACACCGACCCATCCAGCCACATCCTCCCCATCCTGATGGCCCACAAGCCTTACCCGGTATAGATGGTCCACCTGGGCCTGGCACTGTATGTAGGCTTCATAGTCTGCAAACACCTTAAACCTGAAACCGTAATAATAGGTTGGGTCAGGGTAGCAGGTGCAGTGGGTGAGAAACCCTGCCCGGAACATCCTGCAGTATTTCCCAGAGGACAGTCTCCCAGTCAGATCAGGAATGGCCCAGGCCATGCCTTTCATATCCTCCCAGCTACTGGGGGGCCTAGGTAGAGACTATCCTGCTTGTGGGTGCCAGGATGCACCAGGTCTACACGGTCCACAGGCTTCTCTGGAAATCCTTATGTCCTGGGGGTACTTTTTTGAAAGTCTGGCTTCAACCCAATGTTTCTTTTAAGAAAATTATCGTTTCCAAAACAGGTGTTAGACATATACATGCCCAGAGGCAACTGGAGACCCAGAGCAGCAAGCCCATGGTGCATTTTATTTTACTATCAAATTTGAAGCATGGTTCACTATTTAAAAAGTCCCTCCTTCATCATGGGCCTCAACAGGGTCTCACTTTATGCTGGACACATGGAGCCATGTGTGGAGCCATGATCTAGTCTGATTGCAGCCAATGCCTTGCACAGTCTTCAGAGAACAAAGACAGGCTAACCACAGGCAACTAAAAGTGGAGAAGTTAAATCTGGATTAAACTTTTACCAGAAGGATAAGCACTCCCCTGAGGCACCAATGTCTTTGCAGACTTGCCTTGTAGCTAAGCTGGTTGTAATTATACCAGGTATAAACGATGTATCTCAACAAAGTACTGAGTACATTGAAAGTTTGCGATGCAGCAAGTTGATTCCATTTTAACAAGGGAATGTCCTTGTAGACTAATACTTGCCATGGAGCCATACCCTCCCTGCCACCACTCTGCAAGTTCTAGGCTGTCTTGCCTAGAACACACTCTTGAGCACACTCCCAGGGATATAGCTCCCTGTTCAGACATGGTGGTGCTGCTGGCCACCACCCATGACCCAGGGTCCCTGAGACACCACTAGAGGCCACTGTAGACTGTGGTTTGGCTGTGACTGGCTGGGGTAAGGTCTAGTTTGAGGTGCAGATAGGAGATCATAAAAATTCAGGCAGGTCTTACATTCCTCATAACATGAAATAGCTCATCAGGTGAATCCAGCTGTCTCAATGGTGGCGAGTGGGTGGCCAACCTGGAAAGCCAAAGTAATAGGATTTGTGTCCTACCTGTCATGGTACATCAGCATGTTGACCACATCCTTGAAGCAGTCTGGATCTTTGGGAGAAAAGAAGCCACTGCTGATCTGATCCACAGCCTGTCTCAGCTCAGGCAGGCGGTCATAAAAGTCTCTGGCATTGTACCTAGGGGAGAGAAGCTCACTTAGCAACCGGCAAGCAGCCTCAAAAACAGGTGGTGGTGGGACCAGCTTATGCTTGACACAGCCTCTACCCCATGGCAACCCTCCGTTGTGGTGGAGGGCATCAGCTACTGACTACATGTGGTTCCCTTAAGAGGCAGCTGGCTAGACAAAAATCAATCCCTGCCTCCTTCGCTGTTCACAGAAATGTTACCACTATTACACACAAGCCTCCAGCAACAGCCCACCTGAAAAAAACCAAAGAACACTAAGAGATATTATGCCTAAGAGGGTCACTGGCTGGACTGTAGAATGAAGGAATAAGGCCACACAAAATGACATAAAGCTATCTGTGACTGACCAAGAAGCCCAAGAGGACAGTGAGGGACATGCAGAGCTGAGAGAGAAACCAAAACACCCTGCACCAACACATGAGCTCTCAGGATGACAAAGACAGATGGATCTTAGTTACACGCCCCCCCTCCCCCCAG